GATTACAATCAGCTGTAGTGAAAGTGTATTGAAATTCCACGCAGATGTGACAATGTGGCCGTGGGCTAAAATAAAACTGTCATTAATTATTATACAATCAACTTTTTCTGCGTTTCCATATTCCACCTACAATATTAGTTGAAAATTTACACCGAAGCGATAATGTTATGTTCTACGTAAGCGAAGTTTGTGTCCAAAATGTACTGTGATTGTTTTGGTCGAGGCATTTCGTATTACACATCCACAAAACAGAAATACAGTAATTGCCACTAGAACACATGAATTCTGTCGTCTATCGAATACTGAATACATTAAGTCAATTTACATTCCACCGCATGAATTTTAGACATCACATATAGCTAACGAATGCTTTGAATTTGTTATGTTTACCTAATTGTAGAGTTATTATTGAACATCTCTAACAACGTTTGCATTCCATACATTTTTCTTGATGCAACACAGAGTTGCTTACGCACATTGTGATTACACAACAATCAGAATCAAACACTCACTATAATGTGATATAACATAAGTTAGTTATTATTTCATACGTTAACGGGAATTTGGCTTCTGATTTTACCTGATATCAGTTCCAAGATTAATATCACTTGCAGGTGATACGCAGAAATGTTTGCACTATGCCTCTGTTTTGTCAAACCCTTGTCATTTACTTAACAAACTACCGCAATAACAGGGTATAACAGCATGTCTATCCTTCGTATATTATGACTAATTTTAGACGCTAGATTTTTAAACAAATGTGTATGTAAGGTTTGTTGTTATTAGAAACGGCTAGCCCATCTCAGGGAAATATTTAAACAAGAAAAAAAATTACATTTACTTGGCGGCGGAAAAAATAACATGAAGTGTTGAAGCAAGCATGTGCGGAATTAGTATAACGAATATTAAAATATTGCCTTCTTATTGCCTTGAACAGTCACTCGCGAAAAACATGTTAATCTGGCTGGATGTGTAACTGTCGATAACTGCTCAATTACTGAATTAAATTACTGTTAATGATCAGCTGCAAAGAAATGTTTGTCAATTCAACTGTACACACACACACACACACACACACAATGTTGTCACAGTTTCAAGTAAGTCTGCAATTAATTATAATGCAACTTTAATTATTTGTATTCTACATAATTATACATTCTGGTTTTAGGTAAACTGAAACACTAAATGTCAAGGTTTGGATAATTCAATGACTAATCCAATAACATGTTAATAAAAAAGAACTATGTTGGTACATACGTGAATACAATACAAATATTGAATATTTATTATCGGATCAATCATTAATCTGTATTACACTTAACGCTCTAAGCAATTAAAAAAATTAGCATAGTTTCCGCTATAATCATTAACAACATTTATTCAACACCAGAAGACGATAATACCGAAATCTACTGCTCGGCGTAGAAGGCGCTATTGCCTTTTGAAAATAAAATTGGCGTTAACTATTTTTCTTTTTTAGACACGTTCCAAATAAAAAAAACTGCTCAAGTCAACAATCTTCGAAGGCGATCATCAAATAGTTTGAGCGAAGTCTATCGCTGACGTCATCAATGGTGTAATGTTATTTTTAATAATAGGTCTGTACAGTGACACAATGTCGATTGTCGTTTACCTAATAAATCATTTGTAAGTTTCCTGGTCACAGTGAATTTTAGCTGTTGACGTCATCATGATACGGACACTTCCGCCATCTTTGACTCTCGTTTTATTGTGATTTGTAAACAAGGTATGTGAGCACTTATTTCGATTTTCTGTGGTACAAACTGTTTCCCATATACAAGAATGACAATATACCATTGAAGCATGGTTGCTACTTGAATGCAGGAGCGATATTTGCTTCGGCGACCTCGATTGTATGAAAAGAGTCAGGCCTAAAACTAGCACCGACCCTTTTCTCACCTGCCATATTACTCTGCTTGCCATTCGCCCTCAAATGTGGTTAACGTTGATTATATTGTTTGAACCGCCAATAACATGTCTCGTTTTATTTTGTCACACTGACATTCGAAACCACTATAATCTATAATCACTGTACCTGTTATAAAGTTTGAACTTGCGTTTGGATTTATTTCAGTGTATTGTACCAAAAGAAGTTATGAGTGAAAAAAATCCCCCGTCCTTTCGATGTCTGCTGTCATCGAAGAAACAAATTGTCAGAAATGTCTTGTATAACGTGGGGCTTTAAAAAAGTTCAAATAGTATTTAGGAAGTGTCGATAATGTTGAGTTCCGTCACGCAATATTATTTGGAATTGTGTAGATGACGTAACTTCTCGTGCAATGTCCTTTCCTTGTCACGAGTGTATAAATAAACACTTTTACATTTCTTGAACTGTTGG